CGCACATTCACCGGCTTGGGGCCTGCCGAGATTAAGAATGTTGAAGCCAGCATTCCTGAGCCATTACGAGAAGCGTGAGTGCCGTACCTGCCTTCCCGAGGTCCCTAGTACTTGCTTATAGTTGGACTGACCATGATGACTCTCACAGCTGGAGGAAACATGTATGTTGAGACGAAATGGAAGATTCAAGACTGAAATGCTAATGCCTCGAGTCAATTTAGTCGGCTACTGAATTCGCTACTAAAGATGAATTCGAGGTGAGTTCGACTTACGTCTGTATTTAACACTTCGGGTCTAACGACCCACACAGAAAGATCTCGTACGCCATATAGAAACGACCCTCGCTCGCTCGCTGTATAATTGCGATGAGTTGTATGTGATTTGTGTCCTTGATGCAAGCGGTTCTCGCTGACTGGGAATTGTTCTACAGGGCCGCGTATTCGGGAACTGCGCTTGCTTTTAGAGACCGGTTGATCATTGAGTGGAACAAGACTCAGCAGCGTCAGACTTTTACCGATCAGAAGCGAGTCTACTGTATGTGTTCATTCCCGTCGGCAGAAGACAATGGCTAATCGCGCGTGTAGATTTGTCGCTTGAGTTCCTCATGGGACGTACATTGGACAATGCTATGCTGAATGTTGGTTTGAAGGATGTTGCTCGAGGTAAGCGCCGGGAATATCTGTGATCGGGATTATCGCTGATGATACTAGATGGATTGAGCGATCTTGGATTCCGCGTCGAGGACGTCATCAACCAGGAGCACGATGCTGCGTTAGGCAACGGTGGTCTAGGACGTCTGGCGGCATGCTTTTTGGACAGTATGGCGACACTAAACTACCCAGCCTGGGGATATGGCCTACGTTACCGCTATGGTATCTTCAAACAGGAGATTGTCAATGGATATCAGGTGGAGATTCCAGACTACTGGCTGGATAACAACCCCTGGGAATTCCCGCGACACGAAATCACAGTCGATATCCAGTTCTATGGTAACGTCAAGAAATACCAGGATGAGAGTGGCAGGATCTCGCACTCTTGGGAGGATGGTGAGATTGTTCAAGCCGTCGCGTATGATGTCCCCATCCCCGGGTACGGCACCAAAACCACCAACAACCTTCGCCTGTGGTCTAGCAAGGCTAGCAGCGGAGAGTTCGATTTCCAGAAGTTCAATGCTGGAGACTATGAAAGTGCAGTGGCGGACCAGCAGAGAGCTGAAACAATCTCAGCTGTTCTCTACCCCAATGATAACCTTGAGCGAGGCAAAGAACTGCGTCTGAAACAGCAGTACTTCTGGTGTGCTGCCTCGTTGTTTGACATCGTTCGGCGGTTCAAGAAGACGAAACGAGCCTGGGCCGAGTTCCCTGATCAGATTGCCATTCAGCTTAACGATACTCACCCGACCCTTGCAATTGTTGAATTGCAACGCATCTTAATTGACAAGGAGGGCTTGGAATGGGATGAGGCGTGGAGCATTGTGACCAAGACCTTCGGGTATACTAATCACACTGTCCTTCCTGAAGCGCTGGAAAAATGGTCTGTCCCACTGATGCAGAACCTGCTTCCGCGACACCTGCAAATAATCTATGAGATCAATCTGTTCTTCTTGCAATCCGTTGAGAAGCGGTTCCCCAATGATCGGGATATCCTGTCGCGCGTCTCAATCATTGAAGAGTCGCATCCCAAGATGGTGCGCATGGCTTACCTAGCCATCATTGGCTCTCACAAAGTCAACGGTGTAGCCGAGCTGCACTCAGACCTCCTCAAGACTACTCTCTTTAAAGACTTTGTGAAGATCTATGGACCAGACCGTTTCACCAATGTTACCAATGGTATCACCCCGAGACGTTGGCTCCACCAGGCCAACCCCAGGCTGTCTGCTTTGATTGCAGAGAAACTTGGAAGCCATGACTTCCTAAAGGACCTCACACTTTTGGACAAGATAGAGGCCTTTGTCGACGACAAGGCTTTCCGCGAGGAGTGGGCAGTCATCAAGCGGGAGAACAAACTACGCTTAGCCAAACACATCAAGGCCACCACCGGATTCGATGTCAATCCCAATGCGCTCTTTGACGTGCAGGTGAAGCGTATCCATGAGTACAAGCGCCAGCAGCTCAACATCTTTGGAGTTATCCACCGCTACTTGAGTATCAAAGCCATGTCAGCCGAAGAGAAGAAGAAAGTGGTGCCTCGAGTTTCCATCTTCGGAGGCAAGGCAGCCCCCGGTTACTGGATGGCGAAGACCATTATTCATCTCATCAACAAGGTGGCCGATGTGGTGAACAACGACCCAGAGATTGGCGACCTTTTGAAGGTTATCTTCATCGCGGATTACAATGTCAGTAAGGCTGAGATTATCTGCCCTGCTTCGGATATCAGCGAGCACATCTCAACTGCCGGTACCGAAGGCAGCGGCACGAGCAACATGAAGTTCGTCCTGAACGGCGGTTTGATCATTGGAACCTGCGATGGAGCCAACGTGAGTCTTCTTTCCACCTATCCTATATCCAGCTTCCATCCCAATAATACTAACAACCCACAGATCGAGATCACCCGCGAAATCGGCGAGCAGAACATCTTCCTCTTCGGCAACCTCGCTGAAGACGTCGAGGACCTGCGTCACCGACACTTCTACGGCGACTTCAAGCTGGACCCACAGCTGCAGCGCGTCTTCGACGCAATCAAAGACAACGTGTTCGGCGAAAAAGCCGATTTCTCCGCGCTCATAAGCTCGATCGAAGAGCACGGTGATTACTACCTCGTCTCGGACGATTTCAACTCCTATATCACCACGCACCAGATGGTCGATGAGGCCTTCAAGAATCAGGAGGAGTGGCTGGCCAAGTCGATTACCTCTGTCGCGCGTATGGGATTCTTCTCTATGGATCGCGTTACTAATGAGTACGCTGATAGTATCTGGAATGTCGAGCCTCTGGATGTTACGGACTAAACAGATTGTGGTTTGATAGACAGACAGTTCTAAGTCTTTCTTCTTTTGATTTGATGACTGTCATGCGTTTTTCATTGGTTCTATGAGATTTTCTGTATTGGTTTGATTAATATCCTTATCCTTAGCATTAATAGTATATCGATTCTTTTCTTTATGTTCAATTATACAGGCCATGCACCTTTTGATAAGCTTTATATGCAATTGGTCTATACAGAACTAGGTATATATACATACAACCCAATCTCGATATACAGCACTATGTACAACCCCAGAAGAAAAGAATCCTACCTCGAGGTAGCAATGACTGGAAATATCGAACCAACACCCACTCCATGCCAAAAACGAAACCAAAAAGAAATCCGATCATGACAACATCAAACCATAAAATCCATCAAACTCCCCAAGGAAGAAACTCACTCCTGAATAGTCGGCTCAGTCTGAGTCTGTTTAGGCTCAGAGAAATAATCCGGCCAAAGCGCCATCTTCTCATCCTGAGAAGGCGTAGCCGTAGCCAGAAGCGTGGGAACCTGCAATACCCCCACCATTAGCAAAAGTCCTTCCTGTTTTTTTCTCTTTCTCTTTTAATGCAAGGGGAAGACGAGGGAAACATACAGCCTCCTTACTAGAAATCCTTCTCCACATATTCGCACGCGGGTTATACCGCACGGGTTTCCCAACTCCACCAGTCTTCCTCTGATCCTCGAGACTAATCGCCTCAACCTCCCTCTTAACATCCGCAAAGCTATCAAACGGAGTATACGGGATACCGTGCTCAATACAGTACTCCTCGAGCCGCAGACCGCGACGAGCAAAGAGGACATCTGCCTCGCGGGCCGCGGCGAGATCGGAGACGCCGTCGCCGATGAATACGATGAGCGGAATCTCGTCCGGTTCGCACTCCTCTTGGGCTTTTGTGCGTGCTTGGTTCACGCTCTCGCCTTTGTCGTGTCCCGATTCGGTGTTGTCGCGCCAGACGGGTTTCCAAGGGATTCCGCCTGGGGCTTTTAGGTCATTTGCGACGATTTGGATTGAGGAGGCCTGTTGGAAATTTTGGAAAATTAGTGGGTGATGATTGTGGGGGATGGATGCAATTGATTTCAATTGATCTATTGGGGTATTGACTTGGTGATTGGGGCAAGGAGATTGATGATGACAATTAACATACCTCTTTCTCGCCTAGGAAGATATCCAGCGTGCGCTGCAGAACGGGCTTTAGGCCTGCGCTGATCACGTTGAAGGGGAAACCCTCCCGAACGCAGTATTGGTGGAACTCTTCGAAGCCAGGGTCCATTTCGAGGTTCTTTTCCATTATGTCGAAGCCGTCGCCGAAGGGGATGGTGAGGGATCCCCACATGTCGTCTGAGATGTCGCGGAAGGTTCGTTCGCCGGTTTTGAATTGTTCTTCGAGTTTGTTGCGGTAGGCTGCGCCGCAGCCCAGGTTGTCTACTAGGACATGGCCGGTGTCTTGTAGGAAGATTGTCCCGTCAAAGTCTAGGGAGGGGTATTAGTTCAGGGCTTTGTGGTTGGGATTGTATGATTGTAGGGTTTGGACAGTTCCGATGGTATAGGCTAGGGTTTTGCATACCAGAGAAAATAATGATCTTTCTTTTTTGATGGTCGGTGTTTGTCTGTGAAATAGCCATTTTGATATAGACTTTAGAGGGTTTGTTTTATAGGTGTGTATAGGTGTATGGAGAAAATTGTAAATATACAGAGGGTACAAGTTATAAAGAAATGAAGCAAAACTGCCAAACCACGATCCTAAGTATTGGAGAACTTGGTATTCCGTGGCAAACAAGATAGACCAGGAATATGACGTAGGGATATTTAACGACATCAGTGTGGGCCGCAAAGGGGGGCTCACCTGAACATCGTGAGAATTCATGTTGATAGAACAGGCCTTAATTGGCTGTTGCCAGGGGTCCGCAATAAAAAGTCGAGTCTTTGATCGGATTGGTCAATGTCATTGTAAGTGGATTGCATTATACACATCATACATTTCAACGCTAAGAGAACCCCTCAAATGGTATATAAATGAGATAAATTTAGGAAACTAAGCCGTTAACTCGGCAACCCGACGTTGCAATTCCGGTACAGCGCGTAACTGCAAGTCCAACTCCTCCTTCTCGCTGCAACGAAGTTAATAGGCGGCCCGGAGGATCGGAAAAACCGGGAAAATGGGGAAAACTTACTCTTCGAGTTTTAAGCGCCGCTCCCAGTCTAGACCGGTGAAAATATATCCACCCTGTCCATCAAATTGCAAGATCTTCTGGTGATACTTCCAGAGACTGCGTCGGTGCGAGACAGTCATGAGTGTGGTGCCAAGCTTCTTGGCAGTCTCGTACATGACCTTCTCAATTTCCAGCGTCACCGAAGATGTGCACTCATCCAAAATGGCAAACTTGGGTCGGTGATAGAATAACCGAGCCATAGCAATACGCTGCTGCAGACCACCGGATAGAACGTCGCGCCATTCTTCCTCTGCATCCCAGCCTCCAGGACGGTCTACGACAGACTCGATCTCAACCACGGATAGGACCTCGTAGAGATCGGCGTCAGTGATACCCTTGGCGCGCATCTCGCGCACCCCATCTGGATAGATAACTTGCTGCCGTAGAGTTCCACGGGACAGATATGGTCGCTGGGGAATGTAGAAAATATCCTGGAAGGGAGGTTTCTTCACCGTTCCTCCGTATACCGGCCAGAGCCCGCCCAGGATCCGGAAGAGAGACGATTTGCCGCACCCGTTGGGTCCAACGATCAGAAGGTGGTCGCCAGGGTTAACGGTGAAGGACAGCTTACGCACCAATACGTCGCCGTTCGGGGATACGATCGGTACGTCGGTGAACTCAATGGCGTCGCTTTCTATGACTTTACCCCGACCAGACAGCACTTCCGCATTCTCTTCCGTCGAAGCGGAAGACACCAACTTCTTCTCGAACCTTCCAGCGAGGAGATCGTCCATAACTTCCAGCAATGAGGAGACACGCGAAGTGTGGCCAGCCAACTCCGAGATCTCCTTGTAGGAGAACATCAATCGGCCAAAGGCATCTGACGAGGAAAGCAACATTCGACGATTTGTGACGAAGCCTGGGAATAGTCAGAATGTAAAAGTTCCAACATCAAACGGCGACAACTTACTTTCAGTGTGATCTCCCATGCTACGGGTAGCCTGGCCGGGAATCTTAAAGAAGACAGGAACACTACAAAGCACCAAGCCCATAGCTCCCCAGAAATACTTGATCACAAAGTCCTCCATGAATCCATGGTAAAGCCGCCGGCGCAGAATGCGGTTTACATGTTTGATCAGCGTGAAATACCCCTTGTCTAGGGTATCTTTCTCGGCCTCATGGCCGTGGTAAAGCGCGATTTCTTCGCTGTAATCAATAAGCCGTGAATGGAGGAAACGGAACTCGCCCTCCAGCCGGGCCTCATCGGCAACATATTTGCCAAATGGTGGAGTCAGCATACGCATGACGTTGGCGGACAACTGCACTAGCAAACTCATGATGAACAACCCTTCACCTCCCACATTCTTGGAGAGCGAGTAGTTGTAAATGGCCATATCGAGAATAGGCTTAGCTAAATTGGAATATAGTTCTGCGAGACTGTCCGAGAAGCGAGACACATCGACCGTGACGAGTTGGTCGGGATTCTTTATTCGATCGTCCAAGGCGGAGATGGCATAGAAAGTCATATTAGACAGATACTTCTCATGGATATAGTCCGTGAGACGCTTGCGGTAGCTGAGAGCAAGCTTGCACTGGTGGTAGGAGAGCTAATACGGGAAATCATCAAGTTAGCAAATGTATTGAACGGTCGCGTGTCAGCACCGCAGACTGGGAAACCTGGCTCCCATCACTGGGGGCTTACCATAGAATTAGTGAACGTAGCAGGGACAGCCACAATCATCCACCAAAAAAGACCGAGCAAGAAATCCTTCCCTCTACCGCGCACCAAGTTGCTCACAAGTTTTCCGTCGAGTTCGGCGACGTACAAACTAAGTACCGTCCGCAGTACCAGGAAGACGCTGTGGCTCACCAGCAGTCGTAGCTCCTTGCTTCGCCATCCGGGGATGACGATCTTTAATAAGCGGAGCAAGTTCTTGAAGAATTCCCGGTTGATCTCTACGCGCTTCTTGCGGGGTTGTTCCTCGTCGCCTAGACTGCTGGTGCCGGGCCGTCGGCGCAGGTCTACCTGCTGTGACGCGGCTTTCTGCTCGGAGATGGCATTGTGGATTCGTTTGGCGAGTGCAGCAAAGAGGGCGAGATATACGGCGCGTGAGATGCGGGTTCGGTTTCGCAGGTAGAGGGCTGTTAGACTGGAGAGGATCTGCTTGATGGAGCGTTCGGGCGGTAGTAGTTTGGACTGAGCGGCCATGGCGGAGCTGTTAGATGCTTATCAGCCAAATTTGGGTGCATACATGTCCGCCGTTGAATGAGTCGAGGGGGTTGAAGGGGTTGGGGGAGTTGAGGGAGTTGAGGAGAAAGAGGCCATTGCCATGACGGAGGTGACATGTGATACCCCAGGAAACTGGGGGATGTTCAGCCGAGGAACCCACTTTCGGTAATTTGGCCTAAGGCAGCTAACACTATAACGTCCAAAACACATAGATAAATTAGCACTTCGTCAATCCTCTCGGAATTCAACAGTAAGAGAGCACGATATTATTAACTATCTAGGCTATTAAGACACTGCGAATCTAGTATGGAAATTCCTCGCCCACCAGCTTCTCGCTCAACCTCCACAGTCTCTCCGCTTCAAAGCTACTGGTCACCCACGGCTTCACTGTATCAGACAGTGGGTCCGCCACATGGGAGTCAATAAGATAAGCGCCATTGTTAGCTACCGAGTCAGCATGTCAGTATACTCTCCATCTCCCGTCTATCCGTATGTAACATACCTTTAAGAGCCGGGTCAAACGCAGCATAGATATGAGTCGCAACACCTCGCTCCAACGGCTTGGTATCTAACTCTTTCCAGCCCTCCCGGTTGCCCAACGCCTTGTCAGCGTTCCCTATGGTAATTTTAGCGACCGTGCATTTGATACTCATGACCAGTACTTACGAATTCCATCCAGATCCACACTCCAATCCAGGTGGCTGCCCAGATTTGTCCAGATGACGCCCGGATGCAGGCTGAATGCGAGAAGGCCGTGTTTCAGGCCGAGCTTCTCAGCCAAGGATATTGCGAACAATATATTGGCTGTTTTGCTCTGGCCATAGGCGAACCATTTGTTGTAAGTCTTCCCTGCCTGGTCGATATTTAAGTACGGATGCCTCACAAAAAAGCAAAATCCTATACATCACTTACATCAAAGTTGTAGTCATCGAAGCGGAAGGGGCTCATACGATGACCGTCGCTGCTAACCATGACGACCCTAGGACTCTTGGAAGCCAAAATCTTCTTGATAATCAGATTTGTGAACAAAAACGGACCTAGATGGTTGGTTGCAAGGTGGGACTCAGATCCCTCCGGCGAGAGCTGGTAACCAACCCCCATGATACCGGCATTGTTAACCATCACGTCGACGGCTGGAATATCATCCCAGGAATTCACCTGGGCAGCTGCATCGCGCACACTTTTCAGCGAACCCAGATCAACCTTGACCGTACGGACCTTGACATCTGGGTATGCGGCCGTGATATCGTTGGAGACTTGTTGGAGTTTGTCGGTGTTACGGGCGGCCAGGATGAGCCAGGCGGGTTTAGCTTTGGCGATAGATTGGACGAAGAAGCCGCCCAGGGAACCGGAAGAGACGCCGGTCGTCAGAACAACCTTATCCTTAATAAGATGGTTGTAGTCGTTGACCAGCTCGTCAGCAGTTGTGTCTGTGTCGTATGGGGCTGGCATGATTGTGATGGCGATAGCGATGACGGGAGTTTCAATAGAAGGTTAGGGGAAGGGAGGAACTTAAACAAAAGACAGCTTTCAAGCGGACAGTATATATAGCTCCTCCCCCTCTACGAGTTAACCTGTTTCATAATAGAGTAGCATCACGAGCAATGACACTATACTAATCGATGTAGTTAAGCGGAGATATCCCTTATGACCGATGGGTCCTTCGTATAAACGCCACCTTGGGCCGGACTCTCCGAGATAAATCAATGATCTTCCAATTGTGTTGGCTTGAGAAATGCCCTGATGCACATCAATTGTCTTGGCGTGATCAATGTCCTGAGAGTAATTGGTAAGCGAATGGCTCACATTTTCATGACCAAACGCAGCAGCTTCATAAAGACATATTCTTCCAAATCCTCCTCCAATGTCAATAGTAGTTTGACAGTTTCTAGCTCTCTCCCAAAGGCTGCGAAGTGTAACGCAGTCTCGCCTCTTTTGTCTTTGGCAGAGACATCAATCCCATTGGAGAGCAGATTATCCCTGTCGTATAACTTCCGCTTTCCCGTGATTAGAAATCATCTGCCGGAGTACAAAGTACCGTACGCGATTCGGTTCAGTGTCGACCGTGTGGGTCAAGTCTGTCGGGCTTAGCTTTTATCCAGCTTCTTGTCGTCGCAAAGGACACGATTCCCTTAATATTTAAACGGACAGTATTTACTCAGCGTCAGCCAAGAAAACGCTATTAGTTTGGGCATAAAGGTTTCTCAGTCAAAATGTGCTATGAGTCTTGGGTTGATAGTGTAATACTACTAGTCCGATCTTCTTCGCCATTTCCGATCTGATACATACGGACGATTAGGGCTGGAGGGGCACGAGAAGGTATATGCGCACATGGAGTATATACAGGTATAAGAAAACGAAAGTTTGGCAAAGGATACATAAGGGTTCAAGATCGTAAATCGAGATTATAATGAATGAAAAACTTAGGACTTGCTCTCTGGTTCATCGCAGCCTGTCCTGGGGTTTACATTATCCCTTGGACGAATGCCACTGTTGATCTGAGCGGCAATCTGAGACTGTTTGAAACGCTCGAATGCTTCGGCATCTTGCTGCTGAACAGCATAGAGTTCATCGACGGTAGTCCCGAGATGGTTATAGGCCATGTCGGCGTCAAAGCCATCGAATTGAGACAGAGACTGCTCTTCGTGCAGGAGATCCAGCTTTTGCCGGAGAGCAACAATGTGCGAGTCATCGTGTTCGTACTCGAAATCTTCATCGCCGTCGCCTGGAACTAGAGACGGTTTGAGGAAGTCGCGGCGGAGGTTCTGACCGATGCGATGGATGTGTCCTTCTTGGGAGGTCATGGCGCGAGAGTGGAGGGAAGTCATGGAGCTGGTGCGGGAAAGGCGAACGGCATATTGGTCGGTGTCTTCCTCGTCACCGCCAGTCTCATCAAGCTGACTGCTGTTCAAATTACCGCTAGCACCGATCGAGCCGCTTCCATCGTCATCACCAGAATGTTGGGAGATGGTATCGGGGACCGGAACAGCGGGTGGAAGTGGAGGAATGATACGGGTTTCTGGGTATTCATCCTCAAAGCGTTGGATCATCCTATCCAAGGTCATGTCCAAAAATTGCAGGCGGCGATAATTCGCGTCATTGCCAGCACGATCTTCGCGAATAAGAGCCGACTGAATCCGGATTCTGATGTTGCGCGCGGATTCTAGTAGATTCTTCGACATGTCGCGAGGCCGCTTGGTAGGAACACCTCGAGACTTGCGACGGCGGGGTGTTGTGGTACCACTGGCTGGTAAAGACTGCTCCCCGAGAATATCAAGACCATGCTGGTCCAGGTTCCCGAGACAAACACTCAATGCTTTGACAACGCCTGTGCCGCCGATAACATAATCCTCGTCGGGGGCGGCCTCATCTTCATCATCATAAGGCTCTTCGGAGATACCAGAATGTCCGACAATATGCTGTAAAATGTCGGGTACAGGGACATCCACAAGTGGACAAGTAGAGTCAGAAAGCTCCTCTGCGATGGCGCCGCCTTGAAGATTCCGCAGCGAGTAAGCCACAATCTGTGATCCTAGAGCTTTGACAACTTCGTTGTTCTCTGCGGCGGGAACATCGATATCGACTGCAATGATTGTCCGTGAAACACGGACAGCTGCCATCATTGACGCATACACAGCACATGCTTCTTCCTGGGCAACGGGGTCGGTGGTAGAAGCCAAATCAACGATCTGTTGATTCTCCAGAATGTTGAGATGGCACAGACTGGGGCACTCCGGCAATACCTCAGCAAGACCAATGACATGATCTGGTGACAAGTTGACATCAGCGAGGTGGAAACGCTTCAAAGACGGCATTTTCGGCAGGAAGCGACGGAAAGCCCCCAGCGCGTTAGGTTGAGAGGAGAATAATTCACGATTGTGGGAGAAATCAATGAACCGAAGGTTATGAATCTGCGCGAGCGATTGGAGCAGTGGGCAAATCACTGATGGATTGAGGGAGCAATCAGCGAGACTCAGCGCGTAAAGCGGGGTTTCGGGTTCAATCGCGTCCGTGACAAGATCAAGATCATCCTTTATAGAGTTGCCACCTAGATCCAGTCCCTCGCACTGCCCGGCTTTGAGATACTCGACCACGTACTCCAGACCCTCTCTCGTCAGACCATTGTTCGCAAAGCCAAGTCTTCGCAGGCCCATTTTGGTGGTCGCCTGGCAGATTTGCTTTACGGCGTCGACCGAAGGATTACACTCGCTCATGAGCAATTCTTCAAGATGATCCCCAGCAAAGCGTTCTGCCAGGGCACTTGCGAAGACAATGCTCACATCGGCCATGGGAGACTGGGGTTGGCCGGTTGTCCCAGAACCATCGATCGCAACCTGTCCTTGAGGGAAAGGAATACCCGACAAATCGATGGCTTTCAACGATTTCGACAGATGAACAAAGAGACTGATGTGGCGCCATCCCTCCCGTCCTATCTTTAGATTGTCTTTCAGAGAAAGCTTTTCCACAACACCGTATCGTTCATGATCATTGGAGTCTGGAGATTCTGGTCTTCGCGATCGTCTTCGTCGATAGCGCATCTGCTCTATCGTCTTAGTAGCAAGCAGGGCTGAAAGAATAGCTCGCACAGAAATATCTGTCAATGCACAGTTTTCAAGGATGAGTTTACGGACTGGAACAACCGCGAGCCAGTCGCTGAATGTTGCCAAATCCTGTGATGTCATGGGGAAATTGCTCAGATCCAAAGCTGCTACCGTGCCTGGTGACTCGGCCAGTGTTGATGAAGGCTTGGAGATCTCGTCGACCACTCTTTTGAGAACAGGTGTCTCACGTAACTGGCAACAACGACGATAGATACGCACTGGATCGGTTGTCGGGTGGCTTTGAGTTTTGGACCGAGGGACACCTGATTCTGGCGTTGGGCCTCGAGAATATTCTTCATCATTCTCTGCATCGAGTTGCAATGGAACCGAACCATTTGCGACTGCTTGTCTTCGCTTTCTCTCCTTCCGTTCTTTCCGCTCTGCCTCAGACCGTTTCTTCTTCTCCTGCTTCCTTGTTGGATCTGTCCCTTCCCCGTTAGGACTGGTGGTATTCGTTGGGGGAGAGCTAGGCTGGGCCTTTGCGCCCCCGGTAGCCAGGGCGGAAACCGGATCCGGAACCGGAGCCGAGCTGTCCTTCTCAGCCAGTGTAGCCTGGGGATGTTTCAAAGCTCCAGCTTCATCTTGTTCCTTGGATTTGAGCTCAGCCTTCTTAGACTTATGGTGATTAGACTCAGGTAAAGGTTGCCGTAATTGATTTGTTGGGGGAGCTTCCTCGTCATCGTCCCGATGGGAGATTCCCGCGATTTCAACATCTACACAGAACGCTACTCGGTTAAGTTTGGCCTGGTTCAAGTCCGCAATCTTGCATCGGTGCCGATTTTGGTCGATGTTCATGACGCGACGCGGACAAATCGAGCCATTGGGATTCAACTTGGGCAACCCGCCCGAGTTGGACGAGAACTTGCGTAGTGCATTGTGAATAAACGAGGGCCCCTTGGGTGATGATGAGGTAAAGGGATTAGAGTCGTCTTTCTTCTCTTCTTCCTTGTCCCTCGGGGAGTAGGCGGCGCCGAATGGGTTATGCGTTTCCAGAGGTGAGGTTGTCTTTGGACTCGCGGGACTGGCCTTTAGACTAGGTTGCGACGGTGGGGTAGATCCAGAGGAAAACTTCGAGCTTAGACTAGAGATCCATGAGTTTCGGCGTCCGATGGGTTTGGGGTCCGTCTTTCGCGACGCTGGTGATGGAGTAGATGGCTTTTGTTCCTCGTTCTTCTCGGCTGGTGGTGGTTTCGCTTGTAGTGGCGCTGCATTATTCTGGGGAGCTTGCTTTGGTTCTGAGATGGAGGGGGCCGGTGTCGGGCGTGCCGGGTTGCTGTTGGAACGAGATCTCCGGTGCGACTTAGGTTGAGAGGTTGTTGGCTCTGCTTCTGTGCCAGGCTTATCGTTCGCTGATACTGACTTCGTGCGAGACAAATGATCTGAAGAGAGTGTCAGAAGCTGCCCCAATTCGCGGACCTTCAACACCCCCGGTCATAGCCCGGGGCTGGAGAGGTACTAGCATAGAAAGTGGGACTCACCTTTTTGTGAATGATGAAGCCAGCTCACATCCACAGTCTGAACTCCCTCCATTTTGAAAACCCTTGAAAGTCAAAGATAAAAAAATATAAAAAACAAAAGTAATTTCGCAATTCCCAGGAAGTCGTCGAGGGTTTATCAGCGGTGTGGCGTCGTATAAAGAGCGCAATGACTGGATAGGACTAGATCGAACGGCGCATAATTGGCTGGTCCCCCACTTTCCGCCGATGAGCGCAAAACGATTCGAAAGGAGAATCAGGTGGACAACACTAGAGGCCCGGTGACAACGAATAACGTGAAAATGGTGGGAAATGCTAGAAGACGCCGTATGATCTGCGACCGAAAGCTCTCCAGATGTGCTTCAAGTACCCTACA